CAAATTGTTTTGTCTATAAAATGCAGGAAACTAATAAAAAATGCTGATTACAATTCTACAAAGCCATATTTAAATTGCTTGTTTTATCTGATAAGCAGTCAAAAACGCAAAGATATTCATTTTATGACATGGATTGGACAAGATGTAATGTCACATTTTGCTAAAAAAAAAAAAAATGAAACTATTAACCTATCAAAATACTTGGCCATTTTTGTTTCTTACTTGTGCAAGAATGACTGTTATACTCTAATTATTCTTGTACCTGTCTTTGATTCTGATCACAGGCTCCACCTTTCCCCATTTTATACTGCAATCTTCTCCAGCTATCCTTCTAGGTCCACTGGGACTACTACAGTAGCCTATACTATATCCATGCCTGGTGTGTGTGTGTGTGTCTGCCTCTTCACCAGCAGGTGGCTATATTAATTTGTTTTAAATAAGCCACTGATATCAGTATATCCTAAAGTCAAAACTGTTTTCATTGCAGTGTGGCCATCTGTAAGCAAAATGTAGGTGGGAATACAAATTGACCCACTTTTTTAGAGCCCCCTATGTTTTTATCCCCAAGGTTAGCAAGGACAACTAAAAGATGGAGCACTGTCATGGACTGAGCTCGTTAGACAGATGGGATTAGCAATTTTGTTATGTCTGTTTCTCCATAAGAAATATTAAAGTTCATAACATCACACTGACCATCGCATAAAGCAAATTTCTTGTACAAAAAATGTGCTATTAGGAGAAAAATCAAAGTATCTCTGAGGTTTGTATGAGATAGTGTGCAACAGGATTGAAACAGTACTACCCCAGAGGTAACGTCCCCTGATCCCACTGTTTGTGGACCCTGAGTCTACATGATGATCCTCTGTTGTCAGTATAGCCCTAAGTTTAGCATTACATAAAAGGGAGAAGCCTTGAAGTCCAGCAAATCAGTTTAATGTTTTAGTGTTAGGAATGTTCACAAATTGGACTGGAATTTACATAATGTGGGTGTAAACAGTGCTTGGCATCTCATCATGTCTTTGCAGTGCACTAATGAATCAGCAATGGGACAGGTGTGGTGGAGAGGATGTTGATTAGACCTTCATAAGCCGGCTGTTATTGTAACACTGTTGGCCAGTAGGGAATGATCCTCAGACAACCATTATTAATCATCCTGTTCTCTTTTTGGTAATGGTAGTAATAATTTCACACATGCAATCACGTTCTGTTTATGGGCTTATCTTTTCCTGCACTTGCACGTTCCCCTACAGCTACGATCTCATTACATTCACACCTAAATGCTCAAGACTTTACATAACACCTTGTCAGCATATGAGTGTGACTCAAAGGCTGTTTTCTATGTAGTCTAGGAAACCAGCAATGTAAACACGGCTGCCAATCTACTATACAGCTTCATATTTCATAAGGCATCCAGGGTGATCGCCAGTGTTTCAGCTTTGCACAGCCAAGTCTGCATGCACAAACCTACAGGCAGAAATAAATTCAATTTATTCTGAGGGAAAATACCATTAGAAGGGTTTGTCTCTTTGGAAGCATGATTGTTCTCAGCAGATCTCATGGACTGAGATGTGTCACGCAATTGCCAGTTGTAGCTTAATGTTCACTGTGTGAGGTAAAATCAGTTTTTCATCAAAAACATACAGTACGTCGATTGTGCTCTGCAATGTTCACAGCAGTCAGCCAAGTAGCTGTCAAGATTGATTTTGTTTTGGATGGATTGATGGACTGACCGACTTCTTATTGTTGCCAACAAAATGTAAATGTCAGTTACATTTTCCCAGCAGTTGTAGTGTATAAGCAAGGGGAGGGGGTAGAGGTGACCTCAGTGGCTATTGTGGCTCAGGAGCTAGAGCAGGCTGTCTCCTAACCGGAAGATTAGTGGTTTGATTCCTTGCTTGTCCACTCTACATGTCAAAGTGTCTTTGAGGAAGACACTGAACCCCCGGTTGATCCCAATGATATCACTAGGGAGTGAATGGTTGGGAGTGTGAACAGGTGAATGGCCAAATAGTGTGAAAACGCTTTGACTGTGCTACAATGTATAGAAAAGCGCTATACAAGATTAAGGCCATTTACCATTCAGCACATATAGACACATCGTTACAGTACCAATATTTTCCTGTGTGCACATCCTAATATACAAAGGCTCACACCCCCACAGGAACCTGAGTAATTAGTCGACAGTAAAACAGCAATACTTCACATTCATGTCTCACAGCTGGAGCCCTGTGAGGGAAGCTGAGAGCTTTGGCAAATCCGTCTTTGCCAGATTTCCCCTGGTTTTACAGCAGGTTTAATTTCACTCGTCTGCAGTTTGGATCAGTTTCAACAGTGGCAGGCATGGTGGAGGTTTTCCTGCAGTGTTTATTTATCATTAAAACAACTCAAAGCACCTAAAATAGTAGCCCACATTTTCTGTTCTGCGCTCATTTTCTACACCCTCCACCTCACTCTATGTGAGGAGTGGTGTCCTACAGTGAAGCTCCGGCATGGCAAACAACATTTTTATTATTAATAAATATTACAGCATTTTTCAAATCTAACATTGGCAGCAGTGTTTCAAAGTGAAGCTTGATTGATGCCCACTGACAAACACATTGTGTTTAACAGTTTGGGGTCGCAACAACAGCCTTTGAGATTTAACTCAGGTTGTCTAGAGCTGAAATGATTAGTTAGTTAGTTCATTGACAGAATTAAGACTAATGGATTCATTGTCATTTATCAAGCTTTCTGAATTTGTTACCTTGTCTTTACAGCAGACTGAACAATCTGAGAATGTTTCACCATTTTCCGACATTTGATAGACTTGAAGAGTTAGTGAAGAATATAATCAGAAAATTAATAATCAAAGAAAATGAACTACATAATTCCTCAGTATCGAGCCCTAGCAAAATGTTTTGGATGGGTCAAAGTGTTTCCAAAAGGTTTTCTTACATTTTCTCTCCTACTCTATCTGTTGAGTGCTCAACCTGAAGCTGTGTTTTTTATGAGCTGAAGGTATTTTAAAGTAGTCCTCTCAAATACATGTAAGGTTCAACAAAAAGGGGGTAGTGTGTGAACCGCTGTCTAACACTTCATGTCGGTGGTTGAAAAGTAGAAGCTGCTGACTCAGTGTCACTGAGAGGAAGCACACGACTGTACCAACTCATTTGCATTGCCGAGTAATGCAATACCACCCACATTATCTTTCCACTAGTAGTAACAATAAAATACTTGTGTTGCTTTTCCCTACCAATGCAAAATGATCAGATCACAGATATGTGCAACTGTGAATGTCTTTCACTTGTTTTCCCTAAAAGATATATCAAAGCGTAACGATGCTCCATTAGGCAGCCCAAAGCTACCTTAAAGAAATTAAAGTGTGTTTGAGATCTTGGTGTTTAAGAAGTTAATACTTCCTCTTAGGCTCTTATGTAGTGTTGCAGCCACCGCTTCAAATTACAAACCACCAGCAAGGAAATGCACTTTAACACTATGCAATATACATTATATTAAATACAGTTGTATGCAGTATACATATGCTCGGTCTGTACATCCTGCAAAGACTTACTGCCACATTAACTTAAAAAATGCAGCTCTGCTTTACTTTTTTCTAACAGTGAGATATCTGCCTCTGGCTTCACACAGTAGTAACTTCCATACCTAATTACATCACACTACAACTCTTCAGCTATACAACTGCAAATGAACAGAAATCCAGATTCTCACAAGCTGCTTTATGCAACCTGGTGTTCATTTTTATGGAGTTGTGGTTGAGAGTGTAATGGCACAAAGTTACAGCTCACTGCGTTAAAAACTGTCCTGCTGCCTTTGACATGACTCCTCCCTTGCCAGGGGGCAGCAGTCCTGCTTCTTGTCAAGTCTCGGCCTGTTTGAAAAAGACCCCACAGTTCAGAGAGTGCTGAGGGCCAACAGAGTGTTTGACGGTCAGTGCAGGGAATTTTACTTTTTGACCGATTACTTTAACTGCAGCATTAAGCCATATATACACTGTGTTATAGCAAGTAAATCATTTTGTGTCTGATCATCTCAGTTTAAGAATAATGACTTAATGGCTGACAATTATGGCATCATACTAGAAAATTATAAAATACAATCAGAGTTTATCCTTATCTATAGTACCTAAAACTATGACTGAGTATCCTGAGTACTGAGTCATTACGACTAGTCATGTACCATGTATTTGATAAGACGTGAAGTCAAAAACATGAACTAAAAAGTTATCACAGTTTTTTTTTCTCGGTCGTTTTGTGCATTTCTCAAATAATCCTTGCAAAACAATGAAAGGATTTCTGCAAACAGATCATACAAACAGCACCTCACAACCTGCAAAAGTGTGTCACTAGCTCAAAATCCTCAGTGTATCTGTCAATGGTAAATATTTATATCAGTGCCAGCAGATGGCCAGATCCTTGAGTCATTGGCAGTCTAAATGTTTAGTCATGCTGTCAGTATAACAGTGTACTCTGGAAGTATTCTCCGATGTCACCTGTGTCTCAGGTTTGGATGACAGTGACACACGGCTGCACTTCTTCTGCATGGCACATATCAATATGAACAGTACAAACGTTCACATTACCCTGTGTGGGAGATTTACTGTAAAGGATTGGACAGGTTCACGTTTACGCTTTTGCTGTTTTTATTGTCATTGTGATACAGAATAGTGTTTACAGCACTGCATAGCACAAAGAAATGGAAATGGAAACATAGGAAACACCCCCCAATATTTGCACTGGATGGGGAACAATTGTACAGCCACCAATGAAAACACAGTCCACAAGTGTTTCAACATGCTAATGACCTTGACCTCTTCCCCCTTCCTCTGTTCTGCCCCCCTACCTTTTCATCGTACTGTTCATTTCCTTGTTTTTCTCTTGTCAGAAATTGCAATACTGTGTTGTCTATAGATCAATATAGATCAATATATCCTTGCCATTTGAAGGTTTATGACATTTACCTTTAAGCTACTGTGCAGTAGAGACCTGGTTGAACTAAATCCTCACATTCCCCTTCATTAGTTAGAAATGAGCAATTCAACAACTGAGACACATTTGCAAAAACAAGTCTAAAACAAGTCTGTATAGAAATATGTATAACTAGTTCACCCTGTTGCATGTAATGACATCTGCAATGAACTAATGACTACTTGCTTTCCGAGGACAGACTATTCAACAGAGAACCATATAATACATTTTGATCAAAGCAGTTGATAAATGAAACGGCAGAGAGATTGTACACAATGAGCTGCACCAATGTGCCAAAACATCTGTAATTTGCTCAGAACAATGAGAAATTGTTTATATGGTTGTGCACAAGTGACCAGATGAGGTTGAACAAATAGTTTAGAGTTTGATCTGAGAAATGTACTAAAGTGGCAGAGAAGAAGTGAATTATACATAGTCATACTTTTGACTTTTCATTACTGCGATTCATTCATTTCTTCACAGTCATTTTCCTTTTGTAATGTTCACTGCTTCAGCTTTCAGTACTTAATCTGTGAACACAACAGTCCCCATGACAAAACCAAACTGTTCCAATGATGAAAACAATACTGTTAAAAACAGTGTGGTAATAAGTTTGAGGGAAGTTATGCACTGGGTGGGGAACAAAAAGTGAGGTAGTTGGCCTTGTTAAATGGAAACCACTGCTGGGCTGAATAAAACATTGCTCTAAAGTTAGTGTGAGACAAAGACTTTGAGCCTGGTGTTGATGGCCGTGCACTGGTGGCTGTCACACAAGAATGCACCAGGGCCAAATAAACAAGCACACAGAGTAGATTAAACCCATGGGAACAGTTGCACAGTACTCACCAGCAACCACATGCCCAGTCTTTGGCTGTGTTTTTCTTATCATGCTTAATGTTGTGGTCTCTGTCACCCCACACGGCCTATGAGAGGGTGGGTTGGCTATAACTAGCCTTAGGGGTCTGGCCTGAGGTAGATGTCAGACATGAGCAGAAAATACCTTAACTTCATTTTCTTTTTATTAGGCTAAGAGCTCCCAGAAGTGAAGCCACTGTGGTTGCAGTATAGGTCATAAATCCCACCTCCTCCATGTTAGTGGATGGGACATGAGCCGTACTACAAAGTCAAAGTACAACTCAGATACATTTTCCTAGAGGTCACTTCTATGGCTTTTGGTAGATAATATCATGCTGATGTGTACAAGTAGTCATTTTTCTGGTAAGATAGTTGTTTGATGATAAAAAAGAGGTGTATTTCAGTTGATTTGACAGCTTTGATTGGTGGTCTGATGCTGTCACTCCACTTCTGATCTCTACTGTGCAGAATCTGGAGCAAGATGGAAGCTGATGTTTTCCTGATATTTTGGCTTCAGTTTTGCATTTAGGAGGAAAGTGGTGACACCATGTCCATTCGTGTATAGGTTTAGAATGGTTCAGAGACATCCGAATGAATGTGTTGAACAAAACTGTCTAGTGCTTAAATAGATTTAAAGGTAGGGTTTAAGATCCTGGAAAAAATAGCAAAAGGAAGCTCGACTTTGAAAGCAGACAACCGAAGAAATCTCACCCTTTTGTTTTCTCAGTTGTTGTTGTCCTTCAAAAGCCACACCGATGTTAATTCTGGTTTTACTTCTTGCAGCTTCCAACTTCTTTTTAGTTTGAACTTTCTCGAATGCAGTGTTACCTGCCCAGATCTGTGGCCCCAAACCATAGTTGGGGACCTCTGGTTCATGGCTCGTAGCTGATAACTAGCCTTAGACGTCAGGGCTTTTCCAGGAGGGAGAAGTGAAGAGGAGGCCAGCTAACACAGTTCAAAACACAGACTTTATTCTGTCTTAGTAACACAAACACTGCATGTGGTCTTTGGTGGCCAGTTAACTGCATTACAATCCTGTCTATACACTTAAAGCTGACTACTGTTGGTACTTTCCTCACTTGTAGCTGCATGTACAGTAAAAGTCTGTTCCATGCAGCAGAAAATGTCCAGGAATTTAATAGTTACAAGGGCAGTGAGAAAATTCAAAGCAGGACAATTCAAAAAACCTCCAGCAGCGTAAAACCCGAACTACTCAGGCTCAGTACTTCTGTTTACTTGTCAGACAAAACTCACTGACTAATGATGCCTCACTCCTCTATGTCTGCAACAGCTTTCAGACATTCAGTTATCATGCTGGACACTTTGTCCACAGTCTGTAAAAATGAAACCTCCTCACAGTGAGGAGAATGTAACAGTGGCTCTGAACATGTTCTGTTCAGATTAATGATACCTATGGCCTGAGGGAAACAAGTATCTTTTCTCCGAGCCAGAGACATATGAGATGAAAAAAGCTCTACCTCAGGCATCCCTCAGTCATCCAGCTGTCAGACTTTGCTCTGTCAGGCATACATAAACTAGTGAAGTGCCTGATAAAAACATGAATGGCCTTCTCTCCTCTTTTTTTAGATGTTTTACACTTGAGTTTTGTTGCTGTGGTTTGTGTTACAGTTTTTCTGTTTGTTTAGATGCAGCAAACCCTAAATAACCTCCCCCCATCTGTCAAATCATACATGTATACACCTGCTTTCATTACGTTTGTGAAATCATAAATAGACGTTGCAATAATTTGTGTGCAGCATTGAATCAGGATTTTCTACAATGTCACCGTGTCATGATTAAAGAGCTTCCTTTTGTGCTGTCAAGAAACCAGAGTTTAGTGTTTGAACCAGTGACAGACTTCAACCAGAGAATATGAACGTGACAGACAGCTATTATGAGGAAGTAGATGGTGTCCAAGATAAACACTGTTGTTTACAGAGGAAGGATGGGGACAGCTTTTGGTGTGAATGGTCTCCATGGCAACTGTTGGCAACATGCCTCTAGTTGTCACTGATGTGTAGTGAAGTGATAATGTTGAATAAACACCTCTCAAAAACAGTTTAAACAAAAGCTCCCCCTTCCTGAAGGAGCATTTATTGCAGGACTTGTCTGTGACTGTTTAGCTGTAGCTAGTTGTACCTAATAAACTGGCGACTGGGTGTATGGCTTCATGTGTTCAGCTGTGAGCAGCTCCTCTGTCTCTGTCTCACTTTGAAGGACAAAGGTGTCGACCAGCAGCACATTAAGAAATCAGTTTGCATATCGACTCATTTTGCTGCTTTGCCAGTGTGAATGCACAACAAACTGCCTCTTACCTTCTTAGATTATACAGTCAAATGTATGTTGAACTAATTTAACTACTTATATTTAAGTGCTTTTGGTCTTGGCTAAGCTCCTTAGACAGGTGATGGATCCGGTGTTTTTCAACAAGATTTGGCCCAGTGTCACACATCCAAACAGGTGAAGAATTTTTTTGAGGAGAATCAAATTAACACACTGGACTGGCCTGGAAACTCTCCAGATCTAAACCCAATTGAAAATTTGTGGTCTATTTGTAAGCAACAACTCCGTGGGATGGACTGCACAACCATGGAGAAGATGATCCAGGCCCTAATTCAAGTTTGGAACAAGGACCCCAAACTCATCCTAGACTGTTCAAAATTGGTGGATTCGATGCCAAATCGCATCCAGATGCTTCTCAAGAGTCGAGGAGGTCATATCATGTACTGATGTGAGTGTTAGAACATTGTTCATATAAAGAAAATTGAGAAAAACAGATTTTTGTTGTTTTCAGGGTTTGTTTCAATTAATTTGCACAAGGGTGTAGTTTCAATAGTGCTTCCGGTGTTGTGGCAGCGGTTTGAGGAATGCCCCCATGTTTCACCCTGATATAGACTTTAGACAAAGCCAGGTCCATAACAAAATGGTTTTCCAGTTTGAATAAATTCAAACCCACTGAACACTTTGGGGAGGAAACATCACCTACCATGTCTGATCTCACTAATACTCCTGTGGCTGACTGGGAGTAAATCTCTGCAGCCTTTGTCCAAAATCTTTGAATGTCCCTTGGATTGTGTTTGAAAGCTTTATTTTCCATTGATCCATTTTCTTCACCTTATTTGAGGTGGATTCACAGGCAGCAGGTCCAGCAGGTCCAACCAGGTGTCCCTCTCTAGGGAGACACTGAGTCTAGATAAGATGATAGTCTCTCCAGTGTATTCTAGGTCTAGGTCTACTCCTACCTACTGCAGAAAACTGTGTGCAAGTGCACCAAATAGTATTGATTTGATTTGGTTTTTTCCCTGTTTAGTGCACTTTGCACGAAGTGAAATGATAAATAAAAACTATTTATTCACTGAACTTCTAGTGCCTAAAACCTTTAAGCAGTACATTGCACCAGATATTTGAAGTTTGCCATTCAGCTTAAGAAACAGTGGTGGAGCACTGCCTGAATCCTGAAGCTTGGTTATAATGGAAGCTGTTATTAGGGAAGGTACAGTATTTTTAATATTTCCTTCTGTTGTTTGCCAACTAAGAGGAAAATCACAGCCCATTCTGGATGTTACAAAACCAGCAGTCACCGAGTCCAGTCCACCTTAAAACATCTCTGACACACAGTACATACACATTTCCTGAAAACGCCCGTGCAAGAGAAAAGGGAAAAACTCAAGTGACATAATAGTAAGGCGGCGTTGTTTATCCAAAGAAGGAGGGGTGGACATAGGCTGAATTGTGCGCCAAGCTTTTCTTCACGTTCCTCGCCGTCATAAAACAAACCAGCCGCACTGAACATCTGTTTCAACAGGTCCAGCCTTAACGCGAGACAGGTCGGCGACTGCGGACGACTACGGGAGCTGTCAACGCCACCAAGCATCCGCGGAGCCCGGCAGCTTTTTAGCATGGGACTCGGACTGACGGGCTGAATACACGGCGGAGAACCGACTAACATAGTGCGGATGGGAGGAAGCTCAACGTTATCCTAACGTCAAGTCTGTGAGAGCTAGCTAAACCCAGTGGCACCATGTTAGGAAACCCAGGCACTTACGCTAACAAGAAGAGGAAGAAGCCTGTCCTTAAACAGTAAGACTAGTCAGAAACTAACCAAGTTGTGTGACTTGTGAGCTGTTCTCTTTTATATGTGCATTGACGCTGCAGTTTGTGTGTCTGTCGTGCGATATGCGAATCTGTAGAACTAATGCAAATTAGGCTTCACGATGGTCAGTGCGGAATATGTAGGATATAGTTACAACATAGCGAAACCTAACCAACTATGTTTACGCCAGTATTACAGATCCTCATATAACGTTAGAAGATTTGGCTGTCTTTAAAATATATGAATAAATAACTGGGTGATAAACAAAATGTTGCTGAAAATGAATAAAAGCTGAATTAAGGCCGACCGTATCCTTATGTAAACGATCATCAATATGTCAGCTTTATATCTTTAACTCCAAAGCAGAAGTTGTTGGACTAACAAGTGGTACTCGATAGAGTTTCGTGCTGCGTTTTTGTGGTCAGAGTTGTGGCCACCTTTGGGTTTTGCCTTCCACTTTGTGGGACCACCTTAAGAATGTGTCTAGCCCGGATCTGGCATGGATCTTTTGCCCTCTCGCATTAATCACAACGAAGCCGGAGAGTCGGCTGCTGCTCTCACGCGATGCTCAGGGGAGGGCGGGAGCAGAGGGGTGATGGGGGCTCGCGCGCTGCCAGTGTGTTATTGTAATATGATACAGCCTCGCGCTTACGGTGCTGGGATCGGTCTGTGCTGCTGCTGTCCGTATTGTCCTGTTTCCTAATGTGGACCTCGAGTTGAAATGAATTGTGGGTACCCAATTCGCTGTTTTTCCACGCTTCTCTTTCGTCTTGCTAGGTTTTAAATGTTTTTAATCTTTTGTTCTAACAGCAGACAGTGACATCACCAAAACACATAGGCTACATTTATTGAAGCAGTGATGGGAGAAGTACTCAGATCCTCTACCTAAAGGTGCATTCACTAAGATTTTACAGGTTGACTGAGCCCCAGCCCCATTAGAAGCTCTTTACCCAGTTTTGTCAAAGTATGGTCCACCAGTTATCCCCATCTAAAAGTGGTTTGCTAAGGCCAGTGGGACAAAGAGGGCAAGAACCAGGGTTAACATCAGTTTGGCTTTTTGTGAAGTGAAGAAGAAGAAGTCAGAGGCCCTTGATCCAGATGTGGTGGTCTTCCTTCTGGATGTGTTAGCATCTAAAGCGTGTTTGTTCTGGTAACATTAGTGACCCTGTGATTTGGCCTTTTTAATGAAATAATATGATTTGAATTTGGGAGTAAATTGAGCTTTGTGTAATGTTAGTGCTTTGTGTCACATTAGCAGTAACCAGAGTTCTAAATGTACTCAGTTGCCTTCCACCACTGTATTTATTTATACTTCAATTTGACTGCATTCAGAGGGAAATAACTGTTCTTGGTTTGTTTAACAGATATTAGTGGCCTTGATTTATATTCAAAACATTCAGTTAAATTATGAATTTGAACCATCGGATTATGGGCATTTGGCTTGTAAAGGTTATTAATGATTGTTTTGTTACCAAAAGTGGTCGTGGTTTTGTGGTTGTCTCACTAATTGTTTCACTCCTGCATATCTGTAAGGTGCTCATGCATAAATGAAAATATTCTGTCGCTAGCAGTAGAAATCATTTCTAAGGTTGCTGCTGTGCATGTTGAGTAAGTTCCTTAAAGCTGCGCTCATCAATGTATTTATATAAACAGTGGCTCAGATGGCAGTGTAGTGTTGAAAAGGGGCGCCGACAGAGGATTATCATTTCTGTTGTGTCACCTTCAGCTTTATGAATTGTTTTAGTTTTTTTTTTTTCAGGTCTTTGTTTAGTACTTCCACATCAAAGTTTCATACTTACAGTGTGGAACTGGAAATGTGAACCCACACCTTCTGGTCCAACTGTAAACCTTGCCCTTCATCACAGTTAGCTTTAGCTTTAAACTGATTTACAGAAGCACTACAAGTTGTCAGTGCTGTGTAGATATGCCTGCTTACAGTGATCTTTTGGTTCCAAGTGTAAATCCCAAAATAAAAAGGTGGACTGTATGCAAACATCTGTGTTTCTGAAGATGTGGGACTGTGCAGTAAGAACTGGGTTTTCCTGGACGTCCAGCTGGGCTCAGCTGCACAAAAGCACCATTGAGCCTGACTGTAAAAAGCTGTGGTCACTACACAGGGGCATTCCTTGGCAGATCAGGCTATCTGAATTCTCTGTTTTATTATCCAGATGCCCTCAGTCTCCTTTTTGTTCACCCTACTGTCCTATTAACAATACCCTTTTCACATATCCCGTGTACCATTTCTCATTCTTCCAGTCTAACACTAACCATTTTTGCTGTGCAGTCACCGTAGTTTTCATGCATTTAACTACTCAAACACTCAATCATGTACTTAGCTGCAAAAAAATGCACAAGTTTAAAAGTGGCGACCATCATGTTGTCACAAGCTGACGCTTGTACAGCTACTGTAGTCTTTCAAACTGACAACTAAACAAAAAGTGTGAGAGTGATTTGTTGCATTGCTTTTGCTCCTCATACTTGCAGCACTGCATTTCTGATTGCACATTAACAACACAGAAAATTCATCTGGAGCCTGCTGTGTCCTTTCTCAGCCTCAGACAGTATTGTTTTTCAACAGGAGCTAAAGCTTGCTGTGCTAAATACTTTGAAAATATGGGTTAATTATACTGTATAGGTCTCATTAAAGCGCCTCCAGAGAGCACTTTAGTAATGTGTGTGACTCTGTGTAACACTGTGGATTATAACTGGATTATAAATGCTACTGTGCCACTGCATTTATTTTAGGGAGCAGTGGTATCTCCAGTAAGAAGGGATAATTTAACAAAGCAAATATTTTTGCAGAGTAATCTAAAGGGATTCTGAGAAACAAACACACACACACCAGCTTATGTGCTGATAAGAGATGTGGCAGAATGCCAAAACACTCCCAGTGAATACAGTTGCCCTTTGTTCTTTGGCCTTTGATTCATTTTCAGAGTCCTCCTCTTAAACACCAGTTAAATACTTTGTCTAACACTAACAGGAAAAGTGTCACCATCAAAAACATAACAGGAAATAACATCTAAATTATATGTGTGCATAAATAACACTATTACCACCTTAACTAATAATAGCCTAGTTAATCATAACATCCATTGTTTTAGGAAACTGCCTTCCAATGGATGTAATGAAAAGTATGATTGCAGTGAAGCGATATCTGTAAAGGTTAAAACCCACTTTGCATGGATGATATTAAGTCAGCATCCAGCGTGGTTCTCTCCTTTCCCTCTTGGACACCAGACGAGGCTGCTAAAATCATATAAAGTAGTTAGCAGTGGCACTAACTTTACCAGCTGCAACACTGATGAACACAATAAAGCATCAATAATTATAATCCATTCATTTATGGTAACATGATATTTGCCATTCTGCACAAAGTGTACTTTTACTATTGGTACTTTATTTTGATGATACTGTTTTTGTACTTAAGTAACATTTTTGAATGCAAGTCTTGTACAGAGTATTTTTACACTGTGGTATTGCTACTTTTACTTCTGTAAACAGTTGAGTACTTCCATCACCACTGTAGTAAAATAGTGTATGTGCTTCAGGTCGTGTTTAGCATGAGTAAAATGCAAGCCATTCTGTGGCCTGTGCAGACAGGTACTTTATACAGTGGAACCTTGGATCGTGAGTATAGTTCGTTCCGGCAACGTGCTCATATAAAACTAATCAACCTGCGCTTTACCTTTGAAAAGAATTGTGGCTGGCGTGAGGGGCCACTGTTGCAGTACAGATATTGACTATACGAGTGAAGCCCGAGAACCATCGGCTCAGTTGTGACCTACGTCACGTGATGCTCAGCAGACAAAGCGTACGTACTACTCATATTGCGAGACCTCGCTCGTATATCAAACAATATTTATTGCTTGTTTTGCAAAACACTCGCAAACCGGGTTACTCGCTATCCAAGGTTCCACTGTATGGAAAACAGGAATGTATAATTTCTGTGAGATGTGTGTGAGCTGAACAACTGAACAATGTGGCTAAAGCACTCTCTGTGTAGACTCGGTGAAACAGTCCATAGATTCACCCTAATATTGCTAAATACTTTTATGTTGGCCACATGGCTGTGAGGCCCCTTCAGACATAGCAGATTTAGCAGTTTATTGACAGTGATTTCTCAGTTTGTTTCTGCCCTTAATTTTTGTATGCGTTCATGTCCCTTCCTAAATTGGTTTTCTTCTGTATGATGCAACTGTAGAGCAGCATTCATCCAATTTTTTGTGAAGGGAACAGGAGTGGTTTTTCTGACAGCACAAGCAGAGAATAATTGCAGAACACTTTTAATTGCTGCCACGCTACTGTGATACTGGTAGACGGAGCTGCTCTTGTAACCCAGCCATCATACAACAAAATAACATGTACAACATATTATTTTGTGTGAGTCTCCCTTTCTATTTTTGCCTCTGTCTGGAAAGCTCTTGGTAGGCTACAGACAGGCTTTCGTAAACTATCCTATTTCCAGATTGGCTGGCTATGTTTGTATGTATTCAAACGTGTACAGAACAAACTCTTCATACTTTTAGCCATTGATTGTCTTTGAGCAGACAAATGTGTGTCAAACTGTGTACAACATGGGCTGCCTTATATTTGAGACACGAGTGTTTGGGTTTTGCTCTTGAGATCAGGAATCCCAATAGAAATCACTGAATGAGGTAACACATCTTTGTGTCCTATAGGGACTGCCTGCCCTGATGCCTGCAGCTCTACCTCGTGACCCATAGCAAATCAAGGTGCAGAAAATGGTTCTGAGTGCTTTCTCTTGTCTCCAGTAGGCGTTTCTTAGGAGTGAGCTCAGCCCTGCTGGATTTCTGAGAAGGTACAATCACAGGTCTGAGGCCAGCGATCGACTTGAGGCTGTATTCCCTGCAGACAGTTGAGTAGTGGAGGACATATAATGTAACCAAAGTTTCAATAAAGACACAAATTTAGGGAAAGTGAATTCTGCCCTGTACTGAACTTATCATCTTATCATGCTTTGTTCTTTACCTTTTTATTTTCCTGGCAGGAATAAGCTTCCATTTGTTGGCTGGGTTCCTAAAGTTTGTTTAATATAGTGAAGATCATTTGTGAATATGGAGGGTTTGTAGGTGTGCAGTGGAATGACAGCGGTGTCAAATGCCATCCTAGTTGTTCCTTTTCACTGGTTTCACCCAAGTGTAGCATGTGTGTTTGGTTTGCAAGTAATGACATGTATCTCTAGTGAGCCTCGTATAGCCTTGTACTTTGTATTTGAGTATGGGTGGTCAAGGGAAAGTCAAACAGAACAAACAAATCAGCTGTCATGGTAGAAACCGGTTTTCGTTTTGACAAACTACATAAGTAGCCAATGGCATGACTTGTGGTAACTCAGTGTATTTTGCACGCTGATGTCTGTACTGTTTATTCTGATTGTTTCCTTGTCTACAGAGCAACACTGCATTGTTTGAAAAAGCAGTGAGCTTAGTGATGGCTTTTCATCACACCAAACAGACCTGTGCTTTTTTCGTTAGATAAACGATCTGGTACTGTAGTTAGCAGCTGTAAACAATTACTGGTTAAATATTATATATTATAGTTAAAATCTAATCAGATCATAACAATGCTTTGTGCCCTTAGATAAATCTTAAGTGAGACCTTTAGGATTCAGAAATGTTGAATAAGTCATTCTCTAAGTGGATGAACTGACATTAAATCAGGCACCTTAAATGCAATGCAGAGGTGACTGATATCATCAGGGGTTATCAGTGAAGCATAATAATCAAAACTTTATTTATATACATACAGTTCATACAAGTGCAACTTAAAATAGTGAACAACAACAAATTCTAAAAGAAATATAAAACAAAATAAACAAATAAAAGCAATCAAAATCATTTTTAGACTTGCTTTTTTAGACATAAGCAAGTTTTTAAAAAAGGTGCGGGACTATGACTCAAAAAGCAAAATCACCTTGTCTTAGAGCATGTTCACATTATTGCACAAAAAAGGAGCTTGCGCTGCGCATTCCTCGATGGTCAGCACACTGGACAATAGAACACCTGCCTGGTATGGTAGACCCTGGCCTCTATTGATCTGTGCTTTGCTCCTCTGGTGTTACTACCAATTCCTTTCTGGGCCCTGCTCATGTATTGAGCCATGTGCCTGCTCATCTTAGCTACTATGATGCCTGACAGGAGCTTCCATGTTGTGCAGAGGCAGGTTATTGGGCAGCAGGTGGATGGTACTGCTCCCTTCTGAGGGTCCTTCAGGATCAGGACTGTCTGGCCTTCAGTTAACCACTCAGGGTGGGTTCCATCCATTAGTAGCTGGTTCATTTGTCCTGCCAGGTGCTCATGGAGTGAAGTTAGCTTCTTTAACCAGCAGGCGTGGATCATGTCAGGGCCTGAAGTTGTCCAGCTCTTCATACTTGAGACCCTCTGTTGAATGTCTGACATTGTGATGATTACTGGGTCTTGTTCAGGGAGGTTGCTGTGGTCTGCTCTCAGGTCCACCAGCCATTGTTGTCATGTGATGCCTCCTTCTCCCATATGCTCTTCCAGAACTGTTCAGTCTCCACCCTTGGTGGGTCTGCTTTCATGTTATTACCCTGCCACTGAGAGTACACCTTGGATGGCTCAGTGGAGAACATTCAGTTTATTCTCCTGGCTTCAACTTCTCTGGTGTACCTCTGTGAGCCATGGAGGATACTGCTTCTTGTGGCCTATTGTTGAACTCATAGCCAATCATCTCGAGGATCACAGTTATGAGTGAGATACATGCTGTATGTATGTGTGTGTGTGTGTATACATATACTGTATATAATTTTTTGAGAAGACAAGGAGCTGCATTTTGAACCATCTGAAGTTTATTTAATGATTCTTAGGGAGTCATGAAAAGAAAGCATCGAAATAGTCAAACCTGCTGGAAATAAAAACTTTAGCTGGTGTGTTACCAGCAGTTTGTCCTTATTAGTATAATTGGAACACTTTGTATTTATTATAAAATAAATATTGTGCCAGCCTGTAATTTAAGATTTTCTATAGAAATAAGTGGTTTTCAAAGAAGTTGACATTTCTCTGACACTGTCACAAAAAAACAAGATACCAGTGTTTTGTTCCAAGCTAAATTGTTTGTTTGTTGTGAACCCTACTTTTTAATTTAGCAAAGATTAAAGTCTAATTATTGTGTTGGCATTTCAGCACCAACAACTCTCATAAGGCTTTGGCAGCCCTCCTGTACTGTGTATAACATGCTTCATGGGAGCTGTCAACTCACCTGAACAGCAGTGTTTATTAGTGTCGAAGCTGTTTGGAGCATTATTAAACGTTACTATGGCTCATGTTGAATTGGCCTGTGTCATACTGCACCACACAACAGATGTCATGCTCTGGCAGAGCCGGTTAGCCAGGCTGACTGAATCAGTATCCATCCACAGTCAGCATATTTAACACTTCAATAACCAGTTGTATTTTTCTTGTTGCTCCTCAGAAAGAAACTCCTGGAAGGTAATGAAGTTGTTAAATCAAACCCTTCAAAGCGACACCGGGATCGGCTGAATGGGGAGTTGGACCAGCTGACAGAGCTCTTGCCTTTTCCCGAGGATGTTCACTCTCGTCTAGACAAGCTGTCGGTCCTTCGCCTCAGCGTGGGATACCTGAGGGTCAAGAGCTACTTCAGAGGTGAGGGCCATCCTGGTTGTAATTGGTTCCTAAAATGTAATCAAATATCAACGCTGTCTGCATGTATGAGATGTGGCGTAAGCCTCAGTTTTTAAGGCCATTCCTGATAAACCCATCCACCACTGTGTCCTTCATGCCCTTACTGTATACAGTAATGCATTCATCTTCATAAGCACCAAAGAATTAGGACTATATTCATTAGGCTAAGTCATAGCTTGCAAAAAAAGGGTAATGTGAGTTACATAGAATTAAAGCTTGATAAATATGCAAAAGAAAAGTGGAGAGTCTAGGCCGGCACTTACAATCACTAGAACTGGAATTGATCTGAGAGTAACACATGTATCAACGGTACAATTGACAGCCAAGGCAGGAATGAAAAGCATGCAGGAATCTGGTTTTAGGAAACAACACATCCTCAGTGCTTGTAACCTTACTCCACCCGCTCTGCAAGCAACACCTGCACTTCAAAAAAAAAAAAGCTGAATTGTTCGATTCAAGTGTTCACTGTAGGTTGATTAGAGCTGCAAGCGCCCTGGCCTTGAAAATCTGATGAGCCATGTGTGAGTCATGCACATAACTTCTCCACCACCTGCAGATCATTGTTGTCTTTGAGTTAAACAGACTAGCTGAGGTGTTGGCAGATGAGCTGCTGAGTAAATTGCCTTGGTGCCTCTGGGTTCACTGACATGTAGGGAATTAGTGTGTCTCTTTTGCCTTTTGGTGCATTGTTTGTGCATTGTTCAGCCTTTGTGAACTTGTAGTTGGGATGGACCTCACTCTATCTGTGCTCTTACTCTCAACAAAAGCCTGATCTGAATCTGGCTAGTCAGAAATTAAAATGAAGTTGCTCACTAGTTATGATGCTAGCATTGATGTTTTTTTTTTTAAATCAAAGATTCAAAGAAGGGCTGCCTCACAGCAAAATGGTCCTGGGTTTGAGCCCCAGCCGACCAGGTGCCTTTCTTTGTGGAATTTGCATGTTCTCCCTGTGCCTGCGTGGGCATGCAAGTGTGTGTGTGTGTGTGTGTGTGTGGGTGTGTGAGACTGACAGCCTGTCCAGGGTGGACCCCACCTCTCACCCACCTAATTAGCACACTAACATGTATTTAAAGATAGTTTTTACTATGTGAAACGATAAATGTAAAGAAAGTTTAAAAAAGTACATCAAAAGGTTTGTGGCTGCAGACTGTTTTCTTTATCAGCAGGGTGTTAGCAGCGTGAACATTCAGTGTGAACGGATATGTATATGGTGTTACGTGCAGCCAGAGGAACTGGGACATTCCAGCACTACTTGTTCTCACACCCTGTTGCGATGCATACAGGATGCAGTGAGGTATTGTTGTTACACCATCTTGTTGTCACTTCAGATAGTGTTTTCTCTTAACTTTACAAGCAGCTGCATTTACAGCTTTACACCATTTCTAATCTATAATGAACTTCCCCTCAGCTTTGATCACCCTCTTTAAGTGAGATTGCTGTGGTTTATAACAATTAGGGAACATAAATAGTTGTAGCTTTCTACAGCTACACTGATGCATGTGCAGTATGTGTTTTATCAAGATAGGAAAAATGTTTTTCAGAAAGGTAGCTTTCAAAATATCTTTACATTCAAGGCAGGTTCTACATGGTTTGCCTCCAATGCATTTATATATAGACAGAGAGCACATGTGAAATATCACTGGAGTCAAAGGGATATACAACTGACACATACATGTTAAAAGTATGCACTGCCATTTCTCACACACAGCCCGTACCGATAAAAGCATGCAGTGTAAATGTGTGTGTTTCGCGCATGCAGTCTTACAGAGTCAGCCGGCCTATATAAAAATAAGGTGGACCACTGAATATTAAATGAATTGTAATTTTGGGGGGTTGTAATCCAGTTTTAGTGCATTTTATTTTCTAGTGGATGTTCAAGCTTGACTTTAGAAGTACAGTTTTTAATAATTCATCTAGACACAGAAGTCCACTTACTTTAACATCAAGGCTCTGGACGGTATCTCACAGGACTCCATTCAGCAATTGATTTGATTTATTGGTGGTGCTGACTCTAAAGAACAGAGCCAATCCCGGCCGGCAATCGGGGTACACCCTGGACAGGTCGCCAATCCATCGCAGGGCTAACACATAGACAAACAACCACACACACACACACACACACGCACTCCTATGGGCAATTTAGAGACACCAATCAACCTAAGCTGCATGTCTTTGGTCAGTGGGAGGAAGCCGGAGCACCTGGAGAGAACCCACGTAAGCACGGGGAGAACATGCAAACTCCACACAGAAAGGTCCCAGGTGGGGCCCGAACCCGGACCCTTCTCGCTGTGAGGCAACGGCGCTAACCACTGCGCCACCGTGCTGCCTAAATGCTAATTATGTGATGTAACTGTACATAATTCTATGATTTGATAGTAAATCATAGCTAATAACACTGCAGAGTGGAGGCTTTGCAAACAGTAACAATCAGAGATTACCTCATGATAGTTAGATGCCTTTATCCTTTGAGTCACATCAGACTGTGGGTTAAAACAGAATACCCGCAAATGATTTTACAGGCACCAAGCAGTCTGTCACCCTTTACCTGTTGACACTGGTGTGAATGGATGTGACATATGATATATTTATTTATAACAATATGCAAAGCACCATGACACTTTATGCCAACTAAGTGTTTTGAAAAGCCCTGCTGAAAGGGGCCTGTTTCATTGGATAAGTGTACAAAGCAAAAGTGTGTTGGTCATTGTTAGGTGGGATATTAGATTTCAGCATCAGGTATCGGAGCGTTTTGTTTTGCTAACTTTCAATAAAGCGATCAAACACCTTTGGTATCACCTTTAGTAAGACAGGGTACATTTGATCTGAGTGTTCAGTTCATGGTTTTTGCTGGATTGTTGTGATTTGGTTTCAGAAAGAACATTAATCCATATGACCTTTACAGAGTAGTTTGATATACTGTATGTTGAGCCTTGTAAAGACACAGTCGTTATTCTGTTCATAAAATAAAATGATTAGAGGTTATAAATGTAACCCTAATGGCTCAGGACTAATGTTTATTGTGGTTCTCCTGTGGTCCATATAGTACAATAGTTCATTAAACACAGAGGTCATCTGAGCTTTTAAAGAAGCATGAGAGTAACTGCAAAGACTGAAATCTGGAATGACAATGAAATGGATGTTGGAATGTTGTTTGGAAAATGTTATCTTTCATTATCTCAGTGCCCCTGTACAATTTGTACCAGTGGCCATATACAGGTAAATGCCACAATCCATCTATTATCAATACCACTAACCCTTGAGAGGGCTTGGGTGCCTACACCAGGCGGGGGGCAGCGTATGCCCTGGACAGCTCGCCAGTCTAGAACAGGACTGGCACATAGACAACCACTCGCATTCTCGGTCAACCTAACCTGCATGTCTTCTGGAGAACCTGGACCTGTACCTGCATAGGCACAGGGAGAACATGCAAACTCCACACAGAAAGGTCCAGGACGGCCATGAAGTTCAAACCCAGAACCTTCTTTCTGAGAGGCAACAGAGCATTAGTCTATAACAGAATGAATTATGTTTTGTGTAACTAAGTGCTCTGTTACCATCTCTAGTCGGTGCATGTTTACCCGTGAGTGTATGCTTCCCTTTGATCCTGAAACACACGTTCACGTTAAGGAAATAGATGTGAAGGAATGAAGGAAGCCCCTCGGAAGCAGAATCAAATGATAAATGTTAAGTTTAAAGACATGGTGCCCACCAACACTCTGGAGAGAAATGGCTTCATAAGTACATTTAAAAACACATTTACACATAAGCACATGCCAGCGTCTGTGCAGTATAAACTTCTACCTTCCATCAAACTCTGTAGAGTTAGGTAATTTACACCCAGCCCTAATTTCAGTTGCATCATGTTGGAGAGGTTTAATATATAGTCATATGAAGGATTGCCAAAACACACAGCCTTTGCTGTATCTCAACAATATCACCAGAGGTTATCCCAGTCAAAACTTAAGCCTGTGTGTGTGTTCAAGTGCAGGCATGTCCAGAATTTAAGATAAGGATCCCATAAACCGTTAGGTTAAAGAAAAGGTGCTTGTAAACAGTTGATGGGGTTTGAGTGAGACTTAAAGACCTGTTTATGAAACCAGCTATTTATAGCCAGCGAGCAGGCTGGACTGTTTGCCTCGTTGCGTGACTTTACGAGGCAGCACTGGGTGTTTTGAAAGGCTTGTGGCTCACTGCTGCTGACATATTTGTGTGACGCTGTTAGACATTTGAGAAAAATGTGGACTGGCTTTCCAAGTTCATTGAAAACATCCAGGGCCTGTTAGCAATCATAGTTGATGTGGTAACAATGTAGAATGTGCTACAGTTTGACATCATTTGTTATCTGAACCATGTACATACAAACCTGTACACAACACAAGCATAAGGAAGAAAGAGCTACATCTATTAGCAGGGGAAGCCCAGTCTTGTTTGGGACTGAACAAATAAGACAAACTGTTTTGTTTGAGGATATTTGTAAAGATGTACATTTCATTTGTACAAGCACTTAAAATCTCAGCATAATTCACCTATCAACTAAGTATCATAACACATGAGATGACATTTTACTGGCGTGGCAGCAGTTGCCTCTTGGCTCTTGATTCATGACTCTCCTTTCAGTATATCGTGAGAATGTGAGCAACCGCTGGGGATTTAATCATGTTTTCATTTTTCCCCAATTTCCATTCTGCAGAGGGTTTGTTCTCCAGCTTTAAACCACATCGCTACATCTCCCTTTAAACCCAGACTTCTTTTTCTTGTTCCCCGTTGGCTGGAGCCGAGCTCGCCCACCAAAGCGGTCTGTGACATTTCTAGTCTTCCAAAAGTGCTGTTGTTTGTTTATGTGCCAAACTAAAATCAGCTGTGGTCCCACTTTGGTTGGGGAATCAGAAACACAGAGGATGTATTATTACATTTATTTAAGGAGTATGATTCAGACCAGTCAGGGTTCAGAACAGATTTGA